AATTATAATTAACCAAAGTCTTATAGCTACCAGAAAAGTCACTAAGTACCTTTAACACAACTCTCACTCTCTAAACTTGCCCATGACTAAATTTAAACAATTCATGTAGGAACTCTTCCTTGAGAAATGGAAAAAACATTTCATGCATACTATTAAAGAAAATGAGCTTCTAGATAAAGAAACAGAAGATGGAGAAAAATAAAGGCTGCCTATAATATCACACTGCTAACTATATACAGTATTCTAATTTCCTAATTCTCTCAGGCTATATAGTTATTCTTCTAGTTTTAAAAGAAAGAAATAGGCAGTTCTTCTAATTAAGCTACCTCCCACTTGAAATTTCAGTCTTGTAAAGCTCATTCAGTTTTCATGCTTGCCTGTGAAAGTTGCTGACAATGAAATTTCTGCTTTAAATATTCAGCATGATTTTTTAAATAGGTTTCTTCTAATTATTCTTCAGTGAACCTTTAAAACCACAATTGGAGAGATAAAGGTAATTAGAAATGTCAATGTAAATGGATTTGAATTTCTCAGATGTCCTCCAAAATATAACACTCTGCTTTTACCTAATTTCTCTTAGGATGTTGAATAGATCAATCACTTATCACAACACATCACTCAATGCATTTGCATATCACAAGATATATTTCTGCTATTCCAATTAGTCTTCCACTGTATCATAGGAGATAGAATGTTAATCACAAGAGCAACAGCAGTTAAAATGCAACAATGTACAAGGAAAGGAAATAAAAAATTATAAATGGAAAGACTCTTTTTCAAGTCTTGACCAAACCACTTAGTAATGGTGTGACCTTGGACAAGTCCCTTAACCACATAATAGCCCTTGATAAGCTGAAAACATTATACAAATATAAGGGATATGATGATTACAGCTGCATATATAACAGTTTAGAAACTGTTGGCCCAGAATTGGGAAGACTTATAATTGAGGTCTAAGTCACCATACAATATACATCCTAGGAGAGCCCAGCACTTGGAGAGGCCAGGTGACAATCAAATCCTTGGAAGAAGTGTTAGCTATCATGGCCAATAAAACACATCACAGTCTCTCCTCAAGTGATTATTTACTTATCCATTAATTAGATAAGTTCCTTGGGCAAACATAAGCCTGATAGAGATGCACTATGGCTACAAAACACAGTTAATACAGGTGGGAAATAAAATATAGCAAAACTTAAAATTAGATTTTATTTATACCTTATTAGAAACAATAAATATTTGTCAATTCGAAACAGATTCTTGATTACTGGTGCTAGTGAATGAAAATGTTAGGAAAACCTTGGATCAGCCAAAAAATGCAGTAAATGTAGATTCAAATTCTTAAAGACTGTTAATCACAACAAAAAGCCTACTTAAGAGAAGTGCAAATGTTCTCAAATTTAGTGTTCTATTTTTCAGCCTGGAGAGGAAAAACTCAAAGATATTAAAAGAGTTCTCTGTTGCTGGAATGAACTGCTAAAAAACAACATCTTACAAAGACCACAGAGGTATAATGGTTGTAGGTTAATTCAAATTTCAATTAAGGTTTTGAGCCATCATTAATTTCTAGAACCCAAAAAGCACATGCCTAACATACTTAAAAAGACACTCAAAAATTTTTATATAGATGTCAGGTAAATTATTTAATCCTCAAAAACTCAACAATTGAGTTCCGTCAGGTTAGCAGAGTAGAGAAACACTGTACCCTCCTCATATGTTCGGCAGTCAAGTAGCCAGAATATTCAACTTGGAAAAACAACCTTGAGTCACATCCTTTGGCCAAACAGAAACAACAAACTAATAGATCTATAGTCGCAAGAGAGAGATAAGCAGGCTCAGAGAAAGTTCCTGTGTTGTACATGCCCATCAGTTAAAAGAGCTGTGTTATAGTTAATTTTCCTCATTATCAAAGTAAACGACATGACCCTAGGTGGAGAATTAAGATGCTAATGACACATACAATGCATGAGGTAGCAAGTAGGTACACTGCATAGGTGCAGTGTAGGAACCACCTTGACGTATTTTGGGGAGGTAAAAAGGAAAGAAAGGGGTGGTCCCTAACCCCAAGAGTCCATTAAACTACTATATCTGTAAATCTTGGGACTCCATATCCATTTTCCTCCAGAGGGTACTCCATTGGTATATCAAGCTTTCGTTTTAATAAACCTGTCTTTCTACAAAACTGTTTCGCCCACTCTTGATTTCTATCCTGAGAGGAGCAAGGACACTTGTGCCAATAACACCAAAACACATGAAAATTACAACTAAACTACAGAACAACAATCTTCGAGAACTGCCTTAAGTGTTTCTGAACAGAAGTCCCATAACTAAGGACATATAGAAGCCACCTAGAGACTGATAGGAAAGGTGGAGATGCAAAATGAACTGATTCCACATCCAAGTGTGGTGGTTAGCAATTGGGAAGGATATCTTGATTGCAGAGCTCACCCAAGGAGCAAGTGGCCCAGCCCCATGCCAGGTTCCCTAGCCCAGGGTTTCAGTGCTGGGAAGAGAATTCCCCATAACTTCTGGTTCTGAAAACAAACAGATATTATGGCTGAAGGAGATGGAGGGATGCCAAAAGGTCCAGGTGCTCCTCTTAAAGGGCCTGTGCACAGACTTGCTCGCTGACAGACTCATTCACTCTGAGCTCCAGCACTAGAGCAGCAGCTTGAAAGGCAATGAGGACATACGGGGATGATATGAATTATCTGGCTTCAGGGCAAGGGCTAAAGAGCAGCTTTCTCCCTGACAGAAGTGCTGGCAGAAGCCATTGTTCCTTTGTTGAACCCACGCCCCCCCCCAACCCAGCATGCACATGCAGGTGGGCAACATATCTGAGTCTCCATCAACCTAACGCCCTTATCCCTGCCCTGGTGATTCCCTGAGACCCAACCCCACCCAACTTGCAGGCTCACGCAAGCCTCTTCCAGTGGCTTTTTCATATAAATGGCTGTCTTGGCTCATGCTATGGACTATCACAAATTTCCCAAAGGTTCACAAACCCCAAAGGAGGTGCATTGGCTCTCAGCCAACAGCAATCAAGGCTCAACTACAACAGGAAGGCACACACAACCCACTGAAGGGAGACACCTGGAGCACTTACTACATAAGGCCATTCTACCAAGATTGGGATATATAACAGCTCAACCTAATGCATAGAAACAAACACAGGGAGGCAGCCAAAAAGAGATGACAGAGAAGTATGCCCCAAATGAAAGAACAAAACAAAGCTCCAGAAAAAGAACTAAACAAAATGAAGACAAGCAATCTACCAGATGCAGAGTTCAAAACACTGGTTATAAGGATGTTCAACGATCTCAGTGAGAACTTCAACAAAGAGACAGAAAACATAAAAAAGAACCATTCAGAAATGAAGAATACAATAACTGAAAAGAAGAATACATTAGAGGAAATCAACAGTAGATTAGATGAAGCAGGGGGCTGAATCAGCAATTTGGAAGATAGGGTAGCAGAAAACATCCAATCAGAAGAGATAAAGAAAAAAGTATCAAAAATATGAGGATAATTGATGATGCCTCTGGGACAACATCAAGCATTCCAATATTCGCATCATAGGGGTACCAGAAGGAGAAGAGAAAGAGCAAAGAATTGCAAATCTATATAATGACAGAAAACTTCCCTAAACTAGTAAAGGAAATAGACAAACAAGCCCAGGAAGCACACAGTCCCAAACAAGATGAACCCAAAGAGGCCTGCACCAAGATATATCATAATTCAAATGCCAAAGATTATAGACGAAGAGAGAATCTTAAAAACAGCAAAAGAAAAGCAGTTAGTTACCTACTAGGGAGCTCCCATAAGACTGTCAGCTGATTTCTCAACAGAAACTGCAGGCTGGAAGAGACTGGCACAAAATATTCAAAGTGATGAAAAGCAATACCTACAACCAAGATTACCAGCAAAGCTATCTTTTAGAATGGAAAGACAGATAAAGAGCTTCTCAGACAAGAAAAAGCTAAAGGAGTTTATCACCACCAAACCAGTATTACAAGAAATGTTAAAGGGACTTCTTTAAGAAGAAGAAAAAAAATCAAAAATATGAATAATAAAATGGCAATAACTGCATACATAGCAACAATTACTTTAAAAGTAAATGGATTAAATGCTCCAATTAAAAGACAGGGTGGTTGAATGGATAAGAAACCAAAGCCCCTACGTATGCTGCCTACAAGAAACTTACTTCAGATCAAAAGACATACACAGACTGAAAGACAAAAAAAGATATTTCATAAAAATGAAAACAAAACAAAAAGCTGAGGTAGCAACACTAAATGTCACTACCTGTGACATTTAGATTCAAATATCAGGCAAAATAGACCCAGCAATTCTACTTCTGGGTATTTATCCAAAGAAATCCAAAACATTAATGCAAAAAGACACATGCATCCATATGGTCATTGCAGCATTATTTACAATAGCCAAGACATAGAAGCAACATAAGTATCCATCAACAGATGAATGTATAAAGAAGAGGTAAATATATATGATAAATATTACTAAGCCATAAAAAAGAATGAAATCTTGCCATCTGCAACAACATGGATGGACCTAAAAGGTATTATGCTAAATGAAATAAGTGAGACAGAGAAAGACAAATACTATATTATTTTACTTATGTGTGGAATCTAGAAAACAAAATGAACACTAAAAACAAAAACAAACTCATAGATACAGAGATTTTAATGGTTGCCATAGGGGTACAGGGCAGTGGGTCAAAAAGGGGAAAAGATTAAAAGGTACAGCTTGGTAGTTACAAAATAATCACAGTAATGTATAGCACAGCATAAAGAATACAGTTGATAATATTCTAATAACTTTGTATGTTGTCGGATGGGTACTGTATCTATTGGGGTCATCACTTCGTAAGTTATGTAAATGTCTAATCACTATGTTGTACAGCTGAAATTAATATAATATTCTATGTCAACTGTAATTAAAAAACAAAAAAAATATTTGAAAAACCCCTCAATACTCACAGATAATGATCAGGATCAAATTTGGCCAACTCAGCAGCCAGGCGTTTCCGTCTTCGTTCAGCTGCAGGAGTAAAATCCGGATCCTTAATATCGATAACATCACTGAATTCATCCTAAGAATACGAAGAAAGAATAATTTTTATCTCTGATTTTAGCACTGAAAGATCCAAATTTTACACAAAATGCTGAAACACAAGAAGAATCTAATTGATCAGTAAGCCATGATACTTCCTGTGACATTTAGATTCAAATCCAGCAATGTTTGTTAAATATCTACTACTTGCCAGGCCATATTGGAAGTTTTCACGTTAATTATTGCATTTAATCCTCAAAACAAATTTTTTAAAAATATATTAAGGCTATAAAAGTTCAACATAACAAACAGAACAGAATAAACCTCTGCAAGCAAGCTGGAACATTTAATTCTTCATCATTCTCCATTTACTCTTAGAGATTTGAAGTTATTAAAGGCATGTTGAAATAAACTTCTATACCCAAGATGGAGCTCCTATATTAGGTGCCATGTAAGCAAACTAAAACTTAGATTACTTTCATGTCCCTGTAAATGTTTTGCTTGACCAGAATTGGAGTATATTCAGTCAGCCAACTCCCAAACGCCAAGCTAACTCTGGATTCTATATTAATTTATTCCTCTTCATCTCAAACAAGGTTGACTAGGTGGCCTCAGCCAATAGTTTCTATTTTTCTCATCCTTGTTCTCTATTCTTTATCCTATAAAAGCTTCCTGACTTCTGCCTCATTTTGCAGTTCTGTGAATGGAGTCTACCCACTTCTTGAAGTGTTAAAGTTTGTATCACCTAAATTGCCTTATTTAATCATTTTTTAACAGACAAAAAGGTTTGAATACCAGACATCTACACATAGACTTTCCTTCTTTCTTTCTATGGGCGAGCTCAGTTGGTCTCAAGGAGCACAATATAAAATACACACAAAACTGTGTACATTCTATTTTCTAAGCAGATTTACGAATTTTTAAGGGCAATTTTTTTTTTATTACGGTGACACTGTTTAGCAAAATCCAGTAAGTTTCAAGTGTACAATTCTACAGTAAGACATGTATATATCACATTGTGTGTTCACTGCCCATAGTTAGATTTCCATCATCATATATTTGACCCCTTTTAACCCATCTACCTCCTCGCATCCCCGTACCCTCTGGTAACTACTAGTCTATTGTCTATGTCCATGAGTCTCTTTGTTTGTCATGTTTGTTGCTTTCAGGTTTATATCACACATATAAGTAATATCATATGGTTTTCAACTTGGTCTGACTTATTTCACTTAGCATAATTATCTCAAGGTCCATCCATGTTGTAGCAAATGGCAGTATTTCATCTCTTGTTGTGGCTAAGTAATATTCCATTGTATATATGTACCACAGCTTCTTTAGCCAATCATCTATAGTAGGACACTTCAGTTGCTTCCACATGCTGGCCACTGTGAATAATGTTGCTATGAACATCGGTGTGCAAATATCTTTTCAGATAGGATTTTTCAAGTCTTTGGAGTAAATATCTAACAGAGGAATTGCTTGATCATATAGTAGATCAATTCTTAGTTTGTTGAGGAATCTCCATACAGTTTTCCACAGCAGCTGTAACCAATTTGCATCCCACCAGCAGTATATGAGGCTTCCTTTTTCTCTAAGGGCAATTTTGATATAAAAGATTTTCTTTTGAAAATTTAAAATCTAATCCTAAATAATATTCAACTTTACTGTAATCATCTTCACCTAGGTGTATACATATTGATATGTAGTATGTTTCCTAAAGCAAATTCCATAGAAAACAGGTGTATTAGGAAAACTGCCTAAGATACCATCATATGGTCTTTTTTCTTTTGACTGGAATTATGAAGTAAAGGAACATATACACTGCAAAATATTCCTAAAACCATACCTTTTTTTCTGTCTTCATCCTCCCATTCAAACTAACAACCCCAAGCGAGAAGTACAGAAAATAGAAGAAGCTTAAAGAATATTAGCTGAAAAAAAAATCAAGGGAAATAACTTGGTAGAGTTGTACAGGCATACTATTAAAACAGATTTATAAATGAAATGACAGGTTAGTGCCCAATAATCAGGCTTAAAGTCCACTGCTGTAAAGCAAAATCACTTCAATGAAATGAGCTACACATTGGTCAGGGAGAGACTTACAGACTCCCCACATAATCAAAATTTCTGCATTAAAAAAAAAATCTCTCATCCCTACGATAATCCATTTAGCTTAATATCAACAACATTTAATCTAAGCACATTCTAATACAATGAAAGGGCCCAGAGACCTTTTTGGAAGTCACAATCCAGAACATTTTAATACTTCTAAACAAACATTCTGGGCAAAAACTAGATTATTTGCTATCCCCAAAATTATAAAAATGCATATTCCAAAAGTTCTTTTGCGATCTACTTTTTGGAGACTTAAAATGTATTTTCCTATGAAAATGTTATAAATAAGACAATCCACAAGTTTATTCAATTTAATAAACTTGAAATAGAGTACTCACAATGCAAATTAATTAACAAGCACTCAGCAATGTTTCCATTGGAAAATACTTTCAGAGTTCCAGTTTAATCCACCAGAAACAGCTCTTCCCCAAGTCGCGCAAGGTAGATTCTTCCTTTCTTCCCAGCCTTCCTCACCTACTGGAAATTAGCTCCTCCAGCCATAGAGCTGGAAAGGGCATTGAGGTAAGCCTTGGAGTAGACAAGTTACGCTGTACCTACAGGACTTAACTCAGCTAGATGAATACTATGATAGCCATTTCCTGCCTATGGATCTCAAGTCCCTCTCACTAGCACCCTTGAGTCACTGCTTTCTTCTTTCTAGCCCCAAAGAGTTCCCTGCACATGTACACATGCACACAGACACACACATAGCCCCACCTCCAGCCCCGCGTCTCCTGAAAGTAGCCTGATAAAGTAGAAAAAGTATGACTTTGGTGTTAGACAAACCTGAATTTATTTATTTAAAAAAATTTGTAAAGTATAATTGGTATATATTATATTAGTTATATTACTTTCAGTTGTACGATATAGTGATCTGACATTTTTATACCTTACAATGTAATCCCACTAATTCTACTAAACATGTTACTGTGCAAACTTATCACAATATTATTGACTACATTCCTTTTCACCTTTTTCACCCATCCCCAACATACCCTCCCCTACGACAGCCATCCCTTTGGTCTCTATTTCTATGAGTCACAGAGAATGACAAAAACCCTACGGTTTCATTTATATGTGGGATCTAAAAATCTAAATAAATGAACAAACAAAACAAAAACAGACAAACCTGAATTTAAAACCCAACTCCAGTCTAAGTACTCAAACCTTCTGAACCTCAGCTTCCTTACTGTAAAAATGAGTCTAGTGACTCTTCCATCCTGGGACTGGGTATAAGTTTCCTCTTGCTGCTATAAGAAATTACCACAAACTTAGTGGCTTAACACAACATACATTTCTTTCTCTGGTAGTGCTGGAGGTCAGAAGTCCAAAGTCTGGTTTCTCACTGGAGATTTCAGGGGAGAATCTGTTTCTTTGCCTTCTCCCCATTAGAGGCTGACTATCCTCATTTCTTGGCTCATCGCCCCACATTTTAATGCCTTTCCTCCTTCAGCTTCCATAATCACAGGCCTTCTCTTTTTCACTTTGACTCTCTTACCTCGCTCTTATAAGATCCATGTGATTAGACTAGGTCTACCTAGATAATCCAGGATAATCTCCCCATCTGAAGTTCCTTTTGACATGTAAGGTTAACATATTCCCAAGGCCCCCAGTATAGCTGAGAGAAGGAAAGAACCAGCAAGCCAGAGTCCTGCAGATGCTGACAGCAGCAGTCATGGGAGCTTGCTGGGTTGGTGGCCAGAGACTCTAGGATTGTTGCTGCTGGAAGCCACCACTGCCAGAAGCTGTTGTGAAGTCCTGACTTTGAGCAGCTAGGGCAGTTTTCCAAAGGCACCCTGATGGCTGACAGCAATTTCAGAAAGGAAAAAAAGAAGGGGATATGTGTGAAGGCAGAGGGGAGGAATGTTGAAATATATTTGTTTCAGCAAAAATATTTTTATTTTCTTCTCATTATCAGTATAAAATACAAAACTTCATATGCAAACCCTGTGTAAATGGCTGGAGGAAAAAAACATGAAAGACTATACTAGCCCTTCCATAAACGGTTAAATTATTCAATTAAGAGAAGATAACTGAGTATTGGAATTATGTTTTACTTTCTTTGTTCTATTTTTATAGAGACTACATATTGCTTTTATCAGCAGAGAAAATAAAGCTATTTTTTTTTTTCATTTAAGGGAGAAAAAAGAGACTGGAAAAATAATAGTAAAATATGAGTACTCAACAAAACTTTACGAATATTTTATCATCCAAAGGCAGAAGCAGTGAAACTCTAAACCTAAGAGAAAATACTATTTGAGAAAATGGTGATGTCTCCTAAATACATAATTTCAAATTAGAAGAAATGTTCTCAAAGCTCTTATTTACGCTGGAATTGTTTCAGTTTCTTTTTGCTACCATAGTCATAGGAAAAAGGTCATATTGTTAATCTTACATGATCACTCAGTTTTTAACTATGTTGTATGAGTGTCACAAATAGAGCATCTGTAAATGCAAAAGAACTCTGCAACTAACACTACTTATGTAAGATTTTTGTGGCATTATCTCATAAAACACATCTACCCTAATACCTCAAGGAGGGTATCCTTTAATTCTTGGCATCTTGATTCACATAATTTTCGAAAGTTCTGATATTTCTTAATTGTCATGAAAGACATCAAAGTCCTCAAATTTAATTCATGTAAGAAAACAATATTCATTAAAGACTACATATGTCAATTGGAGAGTCCACTGGTAAACTATGCACATATAATGGCAATGATGCCATGACAGAATAGTAATGTGGAACCAATATATACAAGAGCTCAGCATAACCCCCAGCACAGGGACATGCATGCTCAGTAGATGTTAGCTGTTGCTGCACAGACACTGGAGGTTCACATCTGTTACCCAAATTCCCTGATGAAGGGTAAGCTTCAGGATTCAAACTCTTTGAAGAGTTCAGAAAAGTAATATGGTACACATACATGCCATATTTTATTTAACCCCCTCCAAGAAGTCTGGGCCAGCACCCCATATTTAAATACATGACTATTTCTACAGCAAAATTTTTGAATGGAAATAAAGAAACTATTAAAAAACTCGCATCAGTTCAGATCAGGTTTTGCCACCAAACTAAATATAAGAAAACTTTTAGTTTCAGAACTTTTTGTGATCCCAGTATTATATACATGAGGCTATAAACCTTTATTATTAGTGGTATTACTATTTACATATTACCCCTGAGAGCTCTGTCACAAACACAGTTTTTTTCCACATGGAGAAAAACATGCATTCAAGCTGTTTAGAGTAGCAATGTTCATTTCATTAAAATTTGAAGAAGAGTTTAATGATTTTTGACAATCAAGCTAAATGCTCAGGAATAATAAACATTAAATTCAATGGTTCATTTCTGACAGAGAAACAGAGGGATGTAATCAGGAAAGGATACACAGAGCTCCAACTGTGCTGGTAATATTTAATTTTTTAAGCTGGGTAATAGCTATCTAGGGATTTGGTATATTATTTAAGGCATTCAAAAAGATACAAAGAATATTTCAATATAACTTTTTTCTTAGATCAGCCTAAATTACTTATTTAGTAAACGTTTTCAAGAGATAGAAGAACTTCTGACCTAACAGGGACTTGGTCTAGGCTCACAT